AAAAAAAACCCTGATAAGCAACTGATGTTGCCGATGATCTGCAACGATGGCAATGTGTTTTCCTTCAGAGCGATACGCCATACGTTGGCGATGACGATAGGAAGGTAGAAGTCGAGATTACCATCAAAGACAGCGATTTCATGAATATCGCTGCAGGAAAGCTTAAGGCCGATCAGGTAGGTGCTACCATTCCTACTGCCTTTGCGAACAACTAAAGCAGATCCACAAATTCCGCTATTGCAGGCATTCATGCAAGGAAAAATGAAACTTAAAGGAAATATCGCCAAGTCAATGAAGTTGAAAACACTCCTGGACCCAAAAATGCTCAAAGCCAAAATCTGATGAGTTTTCCTGCAACCCCATTGGCGATGCCAGTGCAATGGAGAAGCCTGGAAGGAATTTAAGTGCCTCATAACGCCTTAATAAATTATCACGTAATAAAATTCTGACATTTGGAATAAATGAATGATGGTCCAGACGTTAATTTAACTCAAGGGAAAGCACTTGAGCAAGATCTATTCCTTGGTTCCTTTGCTTTTATCGCTGTGAAAGTATTCTGGGACGTCCTCCTTGACACAGAAGATACAAAACTTGTTGGTGTAGAGAAAGTGGAGGTGATCTGGTGAAGAGAATTTTTGTATTGAAAAGAAACCAGGAGAGATGAGGAACTCGAAAGGGTTGACTCACGAAAGGGGATGGCTGAGGTGACAATCTTCCATTTGGCACTTCATGTAAAGAGACAGAAAAACCAATTGAAAATTGGCAACCACTAAGTTGATAAGGGCTTATCAAAGCTTCTAGCAAGTGCATTTCCTCCAAATTTATTTCATCATTTGATGTAGCATTCAATGGGTACAGTTAGATCCTGAGATTATCGGATTATGGAAGCTATAATGGAATATGATTATGGAAGCTTCCTCTTCCTAAAACACTAGTCTAGGAGTGCCAATTGGCTAATCACAGTAGGCCCGATAGGTATGGGTAAGTGAACACCAGTTTACAATCCCACTAGGGAAATCGCCTCTTTGAGTTTGTAGTTTCTTAGATGAAGGAGTAAATCACTAGTAAGCTGGAGACACTCGACACTTCCCTCAGGGCAACTTCCTATAGCGGTTTCGATGCATGATTGATTACGAGTGACTAGGTTATTGACTTGATCACATACTGATAAACCGCTGAAACAGTATCTGTAGGTATTCGTTGTTTTCTACTTTCCTATTCATAAACACAAATTGCTGAGATATTCACAGGTGAGTTATAGGGATTAAGGTTAAAAGCTAGGAGCTGAGCGAGGAGCTAAAGAAAGAAAGAAGTATGTCATAAACAAACTACTAGTCACTAGCGCTTCCTCAGCGTCACCCTCAGCCAAATTCGAGATTCTCATAGAGCGTTACCGAGGTTTTGGAATTTTTCAATTAACATGCTTCAGAAGTGCAGAAAAGTGCCCGATCTTGGGGATGGAGAAGAAAGAATTGAAAAGTGCCAAATCTCGGGGATGGAGAAGAAAAAATTCCATTCATCTAAAAAACGTGACTAAGCTCAAGGAATGATACTTCGGTCTATTTCAATGTCAAAGTACAATGAAAATAGACTCAACTGATAATGGGCTAATACTCGTGGCAGTGCAATCAATTCTTAACACCCTTTGTCTTTCACCAGAACTAAACTTCGTGTTGAAGTGAGTTTATCGAACTTTTCAAGGTTCTGATTATTCTTCACAACTTTTACTGACAACTATTTTGTCTGGGAAGTGTAACTAAATATACAAACTGAGTTGATTACCCCTTATTGCAGGTAGAAATAAAATTCACTTGAAAAAATGGGAGTTCTAAAGTCAGACGCAATCTTCGAAGATCTCAAAGAGCGTCTCGCCAATGTAAGTTTTCAAATACACGTATCGGGGTAATTCATAGATGGTTTGGCAAAGAGCACCACTTCACCGCATCGCGTACTGCGAAATAACAGCAGTCAACAAAACATGAAGTCAAAGCAACTCTGTTGTCGGTTCAGAACGAAGAACTTACTAAAAACGTGCTGAGTTCTTACAAGATCAATATAAAAGGTGATGATGGAAGCGTAAAGACGTGGATAGTTGATGCGAAGGTGAGCCTGATTGTAATTCTGGTCTTTCTTGTACACAGAATTCCAATCCTCCTCGAAACTCAGCTATTTTGCTTTCAGAGCCACCCACCTTACGTAGGACATGAGGATAGACCATTCGATTGTGAAGTCGACATAAAAGAGAAAGATTTTATGAAGATGGTTGCGGGAAAACTGAGGCCGGATCAGGTAACATCATCGAAATCGAATTTTCTACTACAAGCGATTAGAGGAACAAATTTCAGGCATTCATGCTAGGAAAGATGAGATTGAAAGGAATCGTGGGAAAAGCAACGAGGCTCAAGTCGCTCTTCAAGCCGTCAAGTCCAAAGGCAAGGTTATAGCAGTATCTGAAACATTTTATGAAGCGCTTGATTGCTTCCACTGGTCGACTAAGTAAACTCGTTCCGAAACGTCTGGCTAACATCTTCAGTGAGAGCTATGCTTTTACTCGTTTGGAAATAAAAACTATAAAGAGCCTGTTATTAGAACATTGAGAGACAGCCATGTGAAGGGTAATGTACAACCGTCACCCGAAGGTGAGGGTCAAAGTGTACCAACGTTGATAGCCATGTTTTCCAATTGTTTTTTCCAACAGTTTCTCTTTTTCTTTTTTCTGAATCCATCAATAAGTATTACAACTTATCCTGCCTGTGCTGACAGTTGGACAGGGATCACACAGCATAACACTGGTTAGCTTCGATTTTGATGGATTGCTTGCTCACACATTGCCTTCATACGAAACTAAGTTGTGGTCAAATCGAAAACATACAAGCCACTCGAACATACTAGATCTTCTCGCGAACCACACATTGAGGGCAATGACAGCCGCACAGCTACAAATAGACTTGTTTACGAGCTTCTGCTTCTATCACCCTACTTTATATATGTGTTTGTATTTGTTCCTCAAGGAGTTTGTGTGTGTCTGTGTCGGTGTTAGTGCGTATGTGTTTCGCCGAGGGTGTGTGGGTTTGACAGGACATTCTTGTTTCCATGGACATAGAGCGTTCGAAATCAATAAGTGTGCAGAAGGCTGGATTAATATACCGAAGGTAGGTTTTAGGAAGTGACTGAGCTGAAAAAATTTGCAGGCAAGTTAGGATAAGTAGGGGGTCAACCAAGTTATTTGGACTTACAGGACTCGTTCAGCTCGTTCAGAGCTTCAGCGGTTGGGTCAACTTCAACACGTAAAAAAGGAGAGCCGTCCTCAGTCATTTAATCATTAATGTATAATGGCTGCTTCTCGGGATGTTCTTCTGCTTGTGCTTTCCGAAACTACACTATTAGTAGGAGCGTGGGTAAAGGTATTGGCGAAATGACTTTGACTTATGCATGAGCTTGTTCACCCATTTCATTGTGAGTGGTAAACATTGTTATGTTCGGAAGCCC